TCATGTGGCTAGTTACCATTGTAGCAGCAGACTTCTAGAGACAGGTGAACAATAATATTTGTAAAGCAGAACCTTTCTAGAGAAAAGATTAAAGAGAAAAGAAATGATTGGTGAGATTGCAGCCATAAAATGAGAACTAACATATAGCTGTTTCTATGCAATTTCACTCAGTCAAATTGAATTCGGTAAGAGATTTCTGGAAAAGCACTTTAAACCCTATTGCAATGAAATTAGTAAGCTACACTCTGTATATAGGACAGCTTCCAAAAGAGAGTGATTAACTCCTTCTGCTTTCCTTAGATTTTTGCATTAAATTTCTTTTCTTGCATACTAAATGACACCTTTTCCTACATTTTTAACTTTCTAAAAATATATCTTTAGAGCTTAATTAACTTAGATCCAATGGGGTAGTAAAGAGTTACAAGTGGGTTCCCACCTAGTAGTAAAAAACAGAGATATCCGAAAACTATCTTAGAACTATATAAAATCCCTGGCTGAGCTGACAACACAATCACTCAGGTGACTCTAGGAAGAACAGTACAATGATAAACTCAAGCAGTAGTCTCCAAAGCAGAGGACCAAAGAGGTTAATTGGCATACAAAAAGAAAATAGAACTTCTATTTATATTTAACATCTTTTATTTAAAAAATGAGAAATCAAGCTTTACTAATTTAAGACTTGGAGAGACATCAATGCTCTTACTCAGTCCACATGTCATAAGACCATAACACTGGTAAGTCACTTGAGGTATCCTGAAGGAAAACTAGGAGTTCCCAGGTACCAATATCATCAGTGGTTAACTGGTTCCTTCATTTACTCTCAAATTTCAATGTGTTACCATTTAAGTGGATTTACAGAGTATATTATTTCATACTGTAAAATATTTACAATTCTTCGAAACGACATGGTGTGTGACCTGGAAAACCTTTTCCCACACAAAGATTTTCCGATTATCTCAAAGGGAACTCCTTGTTTCTAAACTCAAAGACTAGTTATGCATGACTCTTTAAAAAAAAAGAAAATGCCCCAAATTTGCTGACCTGCTCTGTGATGACAAGTGGTTGTCAGTAGTGCCTGTGCAGCAGGTATTTTCAAAAGTACATCTAGGCTGTTCCTTCAAAGTAAAAGTGACAGTCTAACTATCCAATAGAAAGCCACCTGAAGTGAGCATTTTGAAAATGCATATTTGGAAATGTTTTCAGCGTTATGCGGTTTTCGTTGCCAGAAACTATAAATACTCATTAACCATATAGTTTAAAGTTGGAAATAAAATTTCTTAATCTGTTTAAAATATTCCTCACAAAAGCGTGAGTGGACTTTTTAACCTATTCCCTTTAAAATATTAAAATTCCCAGCTTTCCCAATAGTTTGTAAGGACCAACTGACATCAGGTTAGATGAAAGACTGCCAGCTGAATTTTACAAAAACCTGTACAAAACTGAAGAATGAACCCTGCCTTTAGCAAACGTAGTCAACAAATTATTTCTTCAATTCGGAATGACACATCCTTGTGAGGCATATTTTTAACCATGACAGACATTAAAACAAAGTATAAAAATAAACTGAACTTAGAGACCTATAATCATTGCATTACTATTAAACTAAGATTTTAAAAAATGATGAAGCATAATTGTCAATCAGTTAATTTATTGTTATCATTAAAGATATAATATTTATAATACACAATATACATTAAAATATTATTTATCTTTATCTCAACCTAAGTGTTTAATGAATATATAGAATATATAAATATAAGAAAAAACTCATATTTTCTAGATTAAAAATACACATATACTATGGATGGATACTTAGAGCATTTTTACTAGTAGAATATAATCAAAAAATGTCAAGGTCACTGTCCTACTTTAAACAGTGATTTTTAAAAAATCCTTATAATGGAAACAAAGCAAAAGAAAACCTTTAAAACAAAAATGAATATCAATTTATTTTAGCGTTTTTTAATAAGCTATTCTGTCAGAAAGGATTTGGTGTACTCAGCACAAACAATGATATGAAAATAGGCCAAGAATTATTTAAATGAATACTGACAACATGATCAAGTCCCTGTTGCACTGATCCGGACCACTTACAAAAACAGCCAGAACTATCCTACAGTCCAGTTCAGGATGCTGGTTCAGATCCTGTTTTACTTTGCCCTTCAAAAAATACTAAGTGGCTTCCTAGTTCCTGTAAGGACCCAAACTCACTGAGAAATTATTTTCTTCACAAATCATTCCATGCCCTTCTAAAATATTCCTGAGGCTTTTGTCATCGGTCACATGCCACTTACCTATTTCCAACATCAGACTCATTGTTCTGGTTTACAATACCCTGAAGGCTAAAAACTTAACACACCAGAAACATTTTAAAAGTGAAAAGTTTGCCTCAATAGAACTAAAATGTGTGACTTCCACTAGCGTTTGTAAGAGAAGCGTATTAAACATTGGCAAGATAAAACCCACAATAAATATGATGAGTATCTCTGTTTCTAACGATATGGATATTCATCAAGATAGGCTCTTACACCCTACAAATGTCACGTTAACGACTTCCCAACATAAGCCAGTTTACACAGGGATCCTTGGGGTCCATAACAGAAAATATGTGACTGGAGGGCCAGTGAGATAAGAAATACCCAGGTGATTTTTCTGTTTTCCCAAGCACCAAAAAAGTCAAGAGAAGCCAATTCCTCATCTCCAACTCACATCGGTACAGGGAAGGTCTGAAAGACCACTACTAGTCCCTTGACTGAGGATGTGGTATGGAATTATTGCAGATGCCTAGAATGACCAGCACCAACTACAGGAGCTTAAGGAAGCCCAGCAAAACAGTGTGAAGAGCTCCATGGCAGTCCTGTATGAGTCGGACTACCCACCAAGGGCCTCTGGGGCCCAAGCCAGGACACCTATGTCTCCCACTCCCAATTCTAGCACCTGGCAAGGGAAGGGAGTGGAGAGATGCAGAGTCTAAGTCAAAATCTGCATTTTGTACATTCACTGTTTATTGATGTTATTTTTGATCACTGATCCCCTTTTGACAACATTTTTAAATGAGATTCATTGAACTGTCAGTCTTGTAGAATACATTTTCTCAGTTTTTCCTATAGGAATCTAATAAATATAATGCTCATATACACAATGCAAAATGTTACATATTTCAATGTAATCCTTCTTAGCCAGAACAGAGGACAACATTTTATCTTGAAATAATTTAGTGTATTTCAAAGCTTTAAAAAGACACAACACCCAGAAAATTAATCCTGGTACAATGAAAATAAATCACTCAGAAAGATAAAGAGATTCTTGCAATATAACCGTCTAGTCAAATAGATGTGTTGTAAGAAAAACAAATAAACAAACAAACAAATACACCAAGATTATTAGAGGCAAGCAGCAACTGTAACAAACTGAAAAGTGAATCCCGCCTTGCTTGTAGAAAGCCTGCCTATTCCAACCACCCAGGAGCACCAGTGAAACAAGGCTATACAGAAATAGTTACACTACAACACCCCTGCAGAAAAAATTCCACCCTGGCTAAAAGACAAACTTAAATGGTTATATGCTATTGGCATAGAGATAATAATCAGGCTAAAGATGTTCACTAGACCAGTGATTGAAATTCGTATCTTTAGAAATGCCAGAATCACCCAAAGGGAAGTGGAAACTCAGGAAAGTTCAAAATCAAAAGAACAAAGAGTGAAAGGAAGCAAAAAGAGGACCTTGAACTTCTATGAATTGACAAAACCAAAACATTTCACTTACATAATCTGAGTCCCAATTTGGGGGTGGGGGTAGTGAAGGAAATGAGGGCTGTGTTGAGGGTTGGTTTGTGGAGATGTACAGAAATGTGGGAGGGGATATGGGGATGTGTAGGACTGTATAGGGGGCACTAAGGAAGTGAGTGTTACAGGGATATTTGTAGGGATGTGTGATGGCTTTAGAGAGATGTAGGGAGTCATGAGGTTTTCTAAAGGTTTTAGGGGGTAGGAAGGTTGAAGAATATTGTGGTAGAGCACTATGTATTGAATCATTATATTGTACACCTGAAACTAATGTAACACTGTCTATTAACTCTGCTGGAAGAAAAATAAAATAACAACAAATAACAAATAAAGAGCATCATATTAGATAGAAAAAATATACTATATAAAACCACCTTTTGCAAGAACAAAAAATTAAAATTGAAGATTTAAATTACTATATTTATGGCAATCTCCCCTGTATTTTAAATAAATTAAGCTGACTTTCCTCACAAATCCATGGACTCAAAGTTGGGACAGTTCAAGTATTTATTTAGGATCAGAAGATTTATTGTACAGTTGTTTCACAGCGTTTTGGGACCTGAGAGATAGATTATTGAAAATGAAATCAGGATGTCATCACATTTCTTCTTTCAAACTACAAAAGACAAGTAACAGTCTTATTTCCAGAAGTATGATCTCTTTGACTATTTTTTTAAACCAATCAGAGTCCCATGAAATCAAGCACAGATAAGAGATTAAAATTGGAAAAACATACACAAATACACATATTTCTTATCCTGGTCCCTGAATAGTTTTCTTTTGTTCTTAAATTTGCCCTGCCTTACTTTATCACTTTTCTAACAGACGGCAGCATGTCTGAATGTACAGCATCAGTGTTTCAACAAGCATTATACTGCATAAAAATATGCATAATCTGGTTGACCCCTCCTGGGTTTCTCACTTCATGGTTATTTTAATTTCTAGCCCATTTTGAAGAATAGGGTCAGCCTTTGACTAATGCAAACTTTGGACATATTTTAAGTTTCAGCTTTCTCTTAGTCCCCAAATGAACAGTTATTGTGCACAAAATTTTCTACCCCTTTCAGTTCATTTAGCAACAATTCAGAACTGCATGAGACTTCTCTTTCCCAGTAAGCTGCATCTTGTTTACTTACCCATGTAAATACAATATAATTCTCAAATTATACATTTCTGAGCTTCTGATTTCAGAGGATTTTATCTTCAGGTTCTTACCTCTGAATTGTTAAGGTGACATTTGTGAGTTCCTGAAAACCAGCCATCACTTGAACATTGGTCAATGTCCACTTTCTGAAGATTTATGTCAACTTTCATAACACCCCTTAAAAACAGAGAAAGATAAGAGCAAATTAATCCGAGCCCTTATAATTTCTAATTCTGTATCCCATCCCAGAAATTAGACAAATCAACATCAAGAGTGCACTAAAAATGTTCACATTGCCCACTTATATTCAACTAAAGTGTACCAAGTGAAGATAGGGACACGATACAACAGAATCAGCAAGTATTAGTTTTACTTAAGTCCCTGTATTGTTCACTGTCTTCAGCTCCCTGCATAATGCGTGGCACATAGAGGTGCTCAATAAATATTTGTGGATTGAGTAAACTCCAGTTAGTATTGCTCTGGACATGGTAGAAAAGTCGACTCTAAAATAACACCTGCTCCCAGTACCTCTTCTCAAAGCAAAGCCCTCACCTCCTTTCTTTCTTTTCCTAGTTCCCAGTGTGGGACAAGGGATGGGGGAGGGCGAGGGGCTGGATAGCATCTTTCCTCTGATCTTCTATTACAATGACTTTAAACAGGGCTTTGCAAGGGAATCAAAAGCAAAAATGAACTTTTGGGACTTCATAAGATAAAGAGCTTCTGTACAGCAGAGGAACCAGTCCATAAAACTAAGAGGCAACCCACAGAATGGAAGAAGATATTTGCAAATGACATTACAGATAAAAGGCTAGTATCCAAGATGTATAAAGAACTTCTCAAACTCAACACCCGAAAAACAAATAATGAAGTCAAAAAATGGGCAGAAGACATGAACAGACATTTCTCCAAAGAAGACACACAAATAGCTAACAGGTACATGAAGAAAATGTTCAACATCATTAGCCAGCCATCAGGGAAATACAAATCAAAACCACAATGAGATACCACCTTATACCAGTTAGAATGGCCAAAATTAACAAGGCAGGAAACAACATGTGTTGGAGAGGATGTGGAGAAAGGGGAACCCTCTTACACTGTTGGTGGGAATGCAAGCTGGTGCAGCCACTCTGGAAAATAATATGGAGGCTCTTCAAAAAGTTAAAACTAGAGCTACTCTATGACCCAGCAATTGCACTACTGGGTATTTACCCCAAAGATACAGATGTAGTGAAAAGAAGGGGCACATGCACCCCAATGTTCATAACAGCAATGTCCAATAGCCAAACTGTGGAAAGAGCCGAGATGCCCTTCAACAGATGAATGGATAAAGAAGATGTGGTTCACATATATGATGGAATATTATTATTCAGCCATCAGAAAGGATGAATACCCACCATTTGCACTGACATGGATGGGACTGGAGGGGATTATGCTAAGTGATATAAGTCAAGCAGAGAGTGTCAATTATCACATGGTCTCACTCATATGTGGAACATAAGGAATAGCACAGAGGACATTAGGAGAAGGAAGGGAAAACTGAAGGGAGGTAAGTCAGAGGGGGAGATGAGCCATAAGAGACTATGGACTCCAGGAAACAATCTGAGAGTTTCACAGGGGAGGGGAGCGGGGGGATGGAGTTGCCCGGTTATAGGTATTAAGGAGAGAATGTGTTGTAATGAGCACTGGGTGTTATACACAAATAATGAATCATGGAACACTACATTAAAAACATGATGAGCTGTATGGTGACTAACATAACATAATTCAAACAAACAAACAAAAAACCAGCACTTTAGGTCTCCCAGTATTCCACACCAGAGATTTGCACCGTCTACAGAAGTGCTGATTAGCATTTTTCTTCTCTTAAATCTGGAAACAAAAACACTGCATTTCACTTAGCCATTTGAGAAAAATCACTAAGAAAGAGAACTCACAAATTCAGAGCCAAAAGCAAAACTGCAAAGAAAGCTCCAGTTTTATCTCAGATTTCTCCATTTTCTCCAACCAATCTTCCAACAATATCCTAAGATCCCTCTCTTCTGTATTTCAGCACCATGAGCACTACCAGCAGCAGAAACATCTTTCCTACAGTGAACTTTCATAGCTGTACATCATTAAAGTAAATATTCTGTGTCCTGGGGCCTAAAGCTCAAAGCTTTGTAATGTCATTTTTCACAAACTTGAGTAAAGTATAAAACCTCATTAAAATCCATTAAAATAAAAACACCTTTTTAAGGTCTCCTGTTCCTAATTTAAACTACTTTCATTATGTATTATTAAATATGTACAAATATAAAGTTAGGTTCAAATTCTTCATATTACACTTCTTGTAGCTATAAAAAAACACCCACAAAATCACAAAGTAAGTACAAACAAAACTATCAAGTCAACAAAATTTAAATTTAATATATTAATTTAAAACACCAATGATGGGGCGCCTGGGTGGCTCAGTGGGTTAAGCCTCTGCCTTCGGCTTAGGTCATGATCTCAGGGTCCTGGGATCGAATCCCGCATCGGGCTCTCTGCTCAGCAGAGAACCTGCTTCCTCCTCTATCTCTCTCTCTGCCTGCCTCTCTGCCTGATTGTGATCTCTCTCTCTGAAATAAATAAATAAAATTAAAAAAAATTTTTTTTAAATAAAAATAAAAATAAAACACCAATGATTATGCTTTACGAAGCTGAACACCTCTCAGAACAGGAATATGGTACAGACTATAGCCAGCCTATTTTACTACATGCTATGACTCATTTCTCTCTTTTCTTTTTTTAAACTACTGTGAATTCTTCTGACAGAGTAGCTTACTGTCATTTGAGCTTCACTTAAGGTGAATAAGTCTTTTACATTTTTAAAGGATGCCTCTGAGTTTTTCTTATTAACCTGCCACAAAATACTACACTAAGTAGTGGTAACATGCTCAAAAGAGACACAAAACAGAGACACCAAAATCTCCTGTTAATATTTGGTTTCCAGATAGCCCAGAATATGTGTAAGTTAAATTGTCAGAGGACCACTGGAACGAAATCCTAAAAATGATCATAGAAAACTCACAAATCCTTCATTATTTATTTTTTATTTGCAAACTACTATTATTCTTGGCCATAATTCTATAAAACAAGTGCCTGTTCATGTGATAAATAAATGAATTCCCAGGTAACCTAATGCCTTAATGAATTTCACTTCCTTGCTCTTTCAACAAATACTTCTTATCTAGTATGAGCATACCACTATAAGAGATACAACGAAGGTGAACAGCATAGGCCCAAATATAAAAATATTGGAACGTTTAATGAGAAAAGATGGTAAATTGTGGGAAATTTGGGAAGCTATCATTTAGGGTATAGCCGATATTCCATAAACATTTGTTCATTTTTTGGCTGTCTTTACTAGCAGGCCTTTGAACTATGTCCCACATAGGTCACACCAATCATGCAAGCCCACTCTAGGCTACTTCATGCTCTTTGAAAAATAACATACTCATTTGTTTTTCATTCATTCAGTAAGTGTATATTGAGTTAAGCACTCAGTTTTGGGCCAAAACTGTTCTTGGCCTTTGAAACACAATAGTAAGCAGAAAAAAAAGTTCCTGCCTCCATGGGGCTTAACTCTGGTGTGGGACAAATAATAAATGACAGCTATAACAAGTAAGTGAATTATGCTATATATTACAAAGTAACAAGTGCAATGGTGGGGAAAAAAAAACTTCAAGCAGGTGAGGGGAATGGGATTTGTTTGTTTGCTTGTTTTTTAAAGAGTGGACAGATTTCTAACTCAACCAATGACTCAGGCTCATATCACACTCTAAGTTACCAGCCATCTTCAATAACACAATATTCCCCACTGGGCTGTTACTGTCCACCAAATTTCGGTGTTCTGCCATGAATGGCTTATTGAGAATGTTTCTGTAAGTAATAAACTAATAAAACTATATATTTGTATTTGTTCCACATCTGTTAGTAAGAGCGAGGTCAAGTTTCCCTCACCTATCCTGCTACACTGAACGAATTCAGTCACAAGAGAGTGCACATGTTCCGCCTTGCTCCGGGACATGAGCCACGTTGGGGTTCCCGGAGGCTACAATTAACTCTGGCCCCTTTCCTGGGGGAACTGGCTTAAGAAAAAGATATCTTAATCACTGAGAATTTTCCCTCTTGATTCTTGGTTCCTACATAAGAACCAAAAGTCACATCAGACCTTAAGCTCAGTTCGAAGCTTTCCGGTCTTTGTGCAAAACCACCAAAGGTAATGAGTCGTGAGTTTACCAGCTGGGAAATCCGCGCTGACTCATCTTCATTAGCATCGTTGCCTCGGTGCCTGGAGACCTACAAAGCCCTTGGGGAGGTGCGGGTGACTTCCGGAGGGGAAAGAGGAAGTTTGCGGGGTTAAGTGGGAAGAGAACGCTCTCTCTGCGGAGGAAGGTATCCTGCTGAAAACCACACAGAGGCGAAACCACTCACGAGACACCCCTCCGCGGACAGAGGTTGGGCAGGGCTACGAGCCTCGCAGCGCTTGCGCAGAGCGTCCCCTGAGCGCGTGCCTCTGGGGGCGGAAGTGCTTCTCGCACATCCTGTGAGCCGGCGCTGCTGGGAAGCTCTGGGGGTGTGTAAGTGGCTGCGGTTTCCTGGGCTGAGGACTGGAAAGCGAGGGCCAAAAAAGCCTGGTAAGTGGCCTCCAGAGAAGAAAATATTAGCAAGTTATATCCCCCAACACCTGGATGCTTAGCTGATCTGCAGACATGCATTTTTGTGTCCTTGTCTGACACCTGAAATGCAACAAGCCCACAATGGGATTCATCCTCCACCCAAATTTTCAGTTCCCCTAATGTTCTTTGTCTGTGATTGCGCCTCCGTCCTTCCAGTTATCCAAGGCGATAACCTGTTGTGAAACCAACCCCCAACTCAAAACAAGTGCCACCTTCCCTCGATCGTACTCCCTGGATCCTCCTTGTATCGTAACCTTTCCCCTCCATTTTTACTATTACTGCCTTGGTTCAGGTCTTCATCTCTCGCAAGGCTAAAAAAATTTTTACAATCATTTACTGATTGAGTCGTTTCTCAGATTGCTCCAGGAAGATCTTGTTCCTGAAGTGTATATGATTTAAGGTCCTTCTCTAAGAAACAGACACAAAATCATGAATACACATATTACAATATGACCTTTGGCCTTATATCTTTGCCTT